AAAAGGGTCCATGTCCCATTTCATCACATGCTCTGTACACCAGTTGCCCCAAATTGAAAGAAGAATCACAATGCCCACATTTGGGAAGACTTTTTGATTCCTTCAAAAGCATGAACATTGTACTCACACACCAATTCAGTTGGTGTAACAGTAATGTCACAATAACTTGTAATTATTGTAAAAAAGTTCAGAAAAGGTTTCAGTATCTTTACCTTTACATAAGGCATACATGCAAAAAATTAATGTTTTGTTAACCACAATATGGATTGTACAAAGTAAGCCAACATAATCTGGAATTTGTTCTTTGAAGCATGCATCGAGAAACCATGTTGAATGGGTTTCTATCCTGTTCAACGCTCTCCTTGAGCCAAAAATTATCTTTCTGCAATTGGATTGTTATCTTAAGAATCATAAACCAGGGAATGTCCACTCCCTGTCCTGGAAAAATGACTAACAGAATAAAAAATTCAAATAGAACTGTTGCAGGAGAAGCAAGGAAAAGTCAGCCATCAGGATGGCCAATCAGAAGAAAGAAAGGAAATTGCGCCACCAGGAGAAGAAGTGCACCAAGGAAAAGGACTGCCCATCAAGGAAATCAATAAAAGATGATCAAAATCCCAAATTAAAACACTTGCCCTCCAGCATCTTGAATGAGCGGTCATCCAGTGCGTCCAGCATGGTTTTCCGAGCAAATTTCCAGATCCATACTTGAAGTGTTGCTCTGTGTTGTCATTTTTGATATTGTCTTCTGCATCTTTTGTCACCTGAAAAAAAGTAAAAACACATCGTCACTCTCAGTCCTCTTAACTGTGGACAGGCCGGCACCCCGGCTGAGTGCTGTGTTCTCTTTTCTTAATTAATCCTTTTCTTTTATCCTTCTTATAATTCTATCAATTCTCTTCCATCTGTATTTCAGCAAAACTTATAATTTCATTGATTTCTTCCTTTGTTGCTAGAATCTAATTTTAGCAACAAAATTGGTGGCTAGTAAGTATACTCTGAAAGAGTATACAGGATAGCCTACTCTAAAAGAGTATACCAACTTCAAAAAAAAAATAGCACCACTTCCAGACTTCCGATACAATAGTCAAGCAATAGGCATCAAATTTATAGGACCATTCAAAACCAAAGAACTATCACCACCAGTAAATATCAAAAAATGCAAATTGTACAAAGATAGCATTAAATCAATCACATTATCCATCTGCATATTTCCATGTTCATATACCAGGGCAGTACATCTGGAGCCTGTTTAGGACCTAACTGTAGATTCCTTTCTTCATTCCTTAGACGCATTCTGCCTAAAAAGAAATGTAAAACCAGAAAATATAGTCACAGACAATGCAGCTACATTTAAAAGTGTGTGTTCTAAATTCATACAAGCAAAAAGCTACCAAATCCAACAAAAACACAAAAAGCCAAATGGTACTTCATAGCCTCAAGAGCCCCCTGGTAGGGAGGCTTTTATGAAAGACTCATGCATTCCATAAAAGAATGCTTTGCACAAACCTTTGGCAGCATCCCATTCTTAGGAGAAAATAGCCTACATCACGCAATAGCATTTGTTGAAAATATGATGAACAATTGACCTCTCACTTATATATCCTCAGAACAAGAAGGACCAATCGTCTTAACTCCATCAATGTTTATAAACCCATACCAATCAGATTGGTTCAAGAATCCTTACTTACATGGAAGAACACCCTTTGAATTCTTAGGAATCTCTGAACACAGAGAACTAACAGAATCCGCAAAATTCTGACTCAAAATCAGTCAGGACATATGGAATGCATTTTACGACATATACATTACTGAACTGCAAAAACTACCATCAAGGCAAAAAACAAAAGGTACAAAAAGATTGCCACAAATAGATGAACTAGTTCTTGTTTTAAATAAAACAATCAAAGGAGACACACCCTTTGAAAGATTAAAATGGCAATTAGGAAGAATTATAAAATTACATCCAAGCCCCAGAGATGGTGTCATCAGGGCAGCGGATGTACTTACAGCAACCATATCCAACACCAATCAAGTTAAACCAATCATTCTACAAAATCAAACCATTTGAAATTTAGTACCCCTTGAAGTGCAAGATCTTCCTGAAGAAAAAGAAAAATTTCAAACAGCTCTCATCAGCAGACTCCAAAAATATATATATATATATATATAAAACCGCAGAATATCATATTAAAATCAGTTTCTTTCAGTGTCACACATCATGAATGTTTTTGCATAAAAATTCTTCTTCAGAACACATTGTACTTTGCACCAATTCACGGTGGGTGGGATGAAACCCTCATCATTTGGTAAGGCACCCCATTTACAAAAGGAAAGATCAATATCATCACAACAAATACCATAAAATATGAACCCACATCAACAAACAAAAAACATATAAAATCAATCAATCACCAAAAAAACAACCTCTCACACAAATTTTCAAAAAACCAGGGGTGGGACGGATATAGTCCTCAAAAAAAAAGAACCGGGGGTGAAAAACAGAATACAACAACTTCACACAACGGGTTATTTGTCATGATTCACAAAAACATGAACAACAGTCAATTTGTACTTCAATCGAGCTCACAACGGGTAGGATGAAACCCTCACAAATAAAAACTTCTTTGGCAAGGCATCCCATTTACAATAGGAAAATCAATTATCATGGCAAAATACTCTCAAATACAAACATACATCAACAAAACAAATGCCAAATGTTTTGCAGTAGAAAAATCACACAACCCTCAAAATACCACCAACATAATGAACTGATCCCAAAGGAAAAAAGCAGCGTCCTCTATCACCACCAGCATACACTCAGCCAGCAACAACCAACAAAATAATACGCAACCCCTGAGAACCAGAACACGACACCACATCTCCAACAGCAAAACTGTGCTGTCCCCTTCCAACACCTTCATCCTGTTTCTTGAAGAAAACACTCCTTCCAAAAAGGCACTCATCATAGTCATCTTCCGCCATAGACTTCTTGAAACTAGAAAAAAAAGAAAAGGGGAAAGAAAAAAGAATACACTGTAAAAACATCTTCAGAGGTGCATATATATCCAGCAAGAATACTCACAGCAAAAACGGATCTGCATCTGGGCCCGTCCCGCCGCGCACATGAGCACATTCAGTGTTAACACACCGTTTTGGTCCAAAGGGTCCACAATGATAGTGCATCATCATCGGCAAAGCTGGCAGAGCAACACTGCCATCATCCGTCCACATCTGACTCCAACCAGTTCACATTCGCACCGACCAAAGACGACTCTCTGATACCCACCCCAAACTAAACACAACTCCCAAAGCTGTTAAACATGCACTCAATAGCGCACCATGTCCAAATAAATGCCCAAAATTCTCCAAGTTATTCTTTGCAAATTGTGACAAACTATCCACAGGTGTGGGTACACTGACCCAACCTACACAACTCAATGATGCATTCTGGCGAATGCCAATCCAACTACATAAGGCATTATAATATGCCTTTGCAAATAAGCTAGCTTCATGCAAACAATTGTCAACCGACACAGAGCCAGAAATGCTCCGCAAAGGTAACGCTGGCAATCCATCATCAGCAACAACAAATTTTCATCCTATTTGTGCATCCACAACAGGGGCACAACCCCCAAGAACACACACAACACTGCCAAACGCCTTCAAAAGTTCTGCAAAGTATTCACCAATAGCAGCAAACCAAAAAGTAAAACTGTCATATCCTCCACTGTGACGGTACAATGCCAGGGCCTTCAGGTCATTGGTTCCCAGCCCAGCACAAGATGAGTAAAATGGAAATTAGGCTGCAACCTCAGGTTTGACTCCACCTCTTTTCAAAGATCATCACCTGGAATGATGTCTTTAGAGCAGACAGCATCCCAGCCACTTATTGAATACTGAAAAAAAGACAAAAACATCATCACAAACATATCATAAAAACCATTCTATTAAAAAATAACCTGGAACGCCTGCATTGGAACACCTTTCAACAGATGCTCAAAATCTGGAATAGGGTGCCTTATTTCATGCACACCATTCACACGCCAAAAAAGGCCTGCTGGCGCTTCACCAATCAAGACATATTCAACAAAGAATCCCCAAGTATTAACACCCTTGCCATGCCGGGTTCTTCCAAGATTAGATCGTCACTATCATGCAGAAAACCAGGAACAGTAAACTTGAAATCTTCTAGATACATCTGGAATAGGCAGGTCAATCTTTCTTGAGCCCAATGCTTGAGCCACACGACAAGTGACACCCATCCGCGCAGCTACAGACACGATGTAAGCTCTCAAGTTTTTTGGAACAAATACACCAACTTTGAACAGCAACACAAGCTCATCTATGAACAAAAAAAGAGGAGAGACATAGAACAACATTTATTTTTTTTTTTCAAATATACACACAGAATATTGCTTCAAAAACAAAACACAAAAAACCACACAAACCTTCAGTCAACTCGTCCAAAAATTCCAAAGGAGCAGACACAGCTTCAGCAACCTCCACTCAACACACCTTTGAAGGTGAGCAATAGTCCTCAGGAACATCATCTCCACAGCATACGTCAGCCTGCGGTTCCGTTGATGGGTGCTTTGCACACAAGGTTTTTACGGTCTCCACCAAACTAGCACAGGACGACGTCACGACCTGGCTCACCCATAATTCTCACAAATCCGTTACAGAGCCAAAATGGATAAACGATCCATCTATAACCACTGTTTGGATTTTATCTATCAAAATCATTCAACAATTTAGAAAAAAAGAACACTTTCAAAACAAAGAACCCAGCACAAAAGATAGAAGTCTCACTAGTATCCAATACACTACAACAATCCCCCATTGCAATGTACTGATGATCCTTCCTTTTTAAAATCTCCAAAAAAGCAACACAATCTGTTGCTAGTTCTCCAACAAACACGGCCTGCAGTGCAGCATGGGACTTTGCCAAAATCCCTTCAGCATGTNGTCCAGAATTCGCCAGAATCTTCCTGAATACGATGGACGACGGGGCGTTTCATACGCCACGTCGTCTGTCGTACCTTGCTGTACCTGGGTTGCTCGGGGCGACATCTAGTCGTCCCGAGAAAAGTTCGAAGTCCGCGGGCGACATCTGTTCGACCCGGGACAGGCTCTCCTGCTGTCGCTGTTTTTCTTTTGGGCCAAATAAGGGATCGCAATGTGGTCTGTTTGGATCTTGAATTTGTGTCCCCACAGGTATGACCTGAATTGTGATACTCCATAATAAACAGCTAGGAGTTCTCTATGGGTGTTCAAATATCTAGATTCGGCTCAATTCAGAGTTCTAGAAGGGCATCCTATAAGGACTTATTTTTTGTCCTTTTTCTGCGTCACGATTGCACCAATGGCGTGTCCTGAGGCATCTGTTGTTAGTATCTGTTGTTGTCAGAAAAAGGACAGGATTTGGGTTTCTAGTAGACATTGCATCAGGCATTTCTTAGCCTCTTCTTGTTCTTTTCCCCAATTAAACTACGTGTCCTTTTTTAGCAGGCTATACAAGGGTCTCGCTTTCGTTGCAAAATCCTTGATATATGATCTAAAATAGCCTACCAGTCCAAGGAAAGCTTGTACGCCTTTAATGTTCTTTGGCGTAGGGAAATTTTGGACAGCATCCGTTTTTACAGGATTTACTTTGATACCCTTGTTACTGATCAAAAATCCAAGATACTCAATCTGTGTTTTAACCAGTTCAGATTTTGAGAACTTTATCTTTAAACCAGATTTGTTTAACCTGCAGAGAATATCTTCCAAATGCACCACGTGTTGCTTGGCTGTTTTGGAATAGATCACTATGGCGTCCACATAAATGTACGCATATGAGCCTAAACATCCATCCAACACAAGATGCATTAAGCGTTGAAATATACTAGGCCTATTTTTCAAGCCCATGGGCAACCTTACAAACTTGTAATGGCCCATGGGGGTGGAAAAGGCAGTTTTCCACCTTTTGTCTTCTCTAATTTTAATGTTATAAAATCCATGCAACAAATCAAGGGCAGAGAAAAACTTTGCCAATCCTAATTCTTCAAATATCTGACTAATTCTTGGTAAAGGATGCGGGTCAGTTATCACATGCTTGTTAAGCTTGAGAAAGTCAACCACCATCCTCCATCCTCCATCTTTCTTCTTGACCCTTAAAGTCGGGCTGTTATACTGAGAGGTGGAGGGTTGTACTATTTCATTATCGAGGGGATCTTTGACGTATTCTCCTAACAATGACCTCATCTCGTAAGGGATAGGGTACTGTCGGGTGTAAATTGGAGAATCCGTATTGAGGGGAATATCTGCCTCATACATGGGACATAGTCCGAGCTAGTCTGATTTTTTTGCCAGCACATTTTGGTATTTTAGCAGCATCTTCTGGACTATTTCTATATATTCTGATGGACATTCTGATGAGTTCAAATTCTCATTGATTAGCTGTTCTAGATTTTCTTTTTCTAACTTCCCATTTATCTTATTCTTGGTGTCATTTGCTGTGGTTCTTTTTGCTGTACCAAAAGTTTTCTTTTTGATTTTTGTTGTCACTCTGGTGGCCATTTCAAAACCGTTGATGGACCCTATGCCAACCGTCATGCGCGGGGTAACTTGTACATCCCGGTCAGTGACCGTTTAAACACAAAATCCTGATTTTTCTGTTTTGCACTTTGGACAGACTTTTTGTGACAATTATTCCCCCATTCTGGAAATTATCAACTAAGATGGATTGGTCCTCTAGAACACGCCCTATATCCTTGCTAGGTCTCACCCAGAGGATGGACTGAGAATTCTTTGGTATAGTGCATGTGTTTACTGGGTACACTCAAAAAGATGCCTCTTTCAGTCCTGATATTTTGTGCACTTCCTTGCGGAGGTGAAAGCCTTTATCTCTTTCCAAAAAGAAGGGGATACAGACTCTGGACATAATAAGACATTTCTTCCCAAAATTAATCCCAGCATTTTCAGCCTTTAGCACATCATGCCCTAGAATACCGTCAAATGCTTGATCCGCTATCTCAGTAATTAAAAGAGTAGCCTTGGCAAGGAGTAAGTCCTTAAACCACAAGATCGCGTCTAGGGATCCCCAAAGAGGTATTTTCCAATCTTCTATGGTTGACTACGTTAGTTTCGGGGTGCGCGTGACAGAATTGCTAGTTATGAACAAAGGAGAAATCAACGATACCTCGGATCCTGTGTTGATTAGGAACTTGACGGGAACAGCAGTTACTGAAGTGGATAGTAGGACAACCGGAAGCTTTGGGGATGTGGAAGGTCTGGTCAACAGTCATTTCCCGACTCATTGCCCGTAAACTCCTCGATCCCTTCCATCTGTATGCTGTCTAGCTGCTCCTTTGATGTGAAGTGCACTCGGATACTTTTATCCGTGTGCACTGAGTGACTGCTGGTGGGAGATCTTGCTCCTTTTCGTCCCTTGCCTTGTTGACTCTTGCCCTGGCCTTTTGCCTGGCCTGGACTCGACGATCAGGAGTCAGGACTTTTGCTGCAACTTGGAGATCTCCCTTCTCGGGATCCCCTTGTCACGCGCAGAAGCCCCCTGTCTGCTGGCAAGGAAAGCATCAGTCTTCTCTCTTGCGGGGGAGGTAAAGCCTTTTGCTCTCCTTGGTAGCCACTCACACTGTTACCTATCCAAATTTTGCCACGTGCTCTACATTCACTTGCGTAGTGACCGGGTTTTCCACAAATATAACAAGTACGCACTGTTTGACTAATGCTAGTTGTTACTGCTGAAGTACAGAAAACTCTACGAGACTTGGCCGTTTGTTGGAAATTTCTCAGTTTCTCAACATTGGTGGCGGCCTCTATCACTTGCTCTAATGTAAGGGGAACAAAGCTGAATCTCTTTAAGAAATCAGGCTGCAAACCTGCCATAAAGTGACCCAGCATTATCTCATCTATTTGAGCCATTCAACATTTGTGTCTTAGGGTTTCTTAGGCCAACATAGGGTTAGCAACAATTTTTGGCTTGGAGTTCTCAACTCGTAAAACTTTCATTTTACTTGGGGCTTCTCCCAACATCTCAAGGCCAATCTTTTTGATGCGCACTGAATAATCTAGGATGTTCTCCAAGTCAGCTTGCAATATCTTTTGTAGTTTTAGCACGCCCAAACCCATCAAATCACCACCATATGCCTTTTCAAGAGCTCTTACTATCGTGGGATAAGGTTGGTCTAACAACCCTGGGGTTGCATTATTCAAAAACTCTTTCGCTTTTCCAGTGACTATCTGGTGAATTACCAATCTCATATGTGCATCAGTAACCTCGCAGTCGGCTAGAGCTAGGCAAATTTTGTTCCACCAGTCTACCCAAGTGCCTACGGCTCCTGAGAACATTGGGATATTTGCCAGGATAGTATTGGCAATGTTTTTATCACCTTTATAAGCACTGGAATCACATAAAGTTTTCATGTTAAAGAAGACTACCTTGTCCTCTGTTGGTCTTTCAATTGATTTAACTTAAGTTCTCTCAATTGCAATTGAGTTTCAATTCCTAAGGCTTGTCCAACCTCAGCTTTTTCCCATTTGGTCTCATCTTTCAAGTGGGCAGCAAACAACGACAACTGAGCGTTCTCTATAGCAAGAGTGCTTTTGTTCAGCACTGCTAGGTTGGGAGTGAGAGACTCTATTATCAAATTGTAACTCTTTAGCTGGATGGTACGGAACTCAATCTCTCTAGTTAAAGTGGCTCTAATTTCAGAAGAAGGTCTAGGCTCAGCATCTCTTAGTACTTTGACTTGGATGTTCTCTGCCTGGAGTAACCTTACTAGTTCAGTTAAATATCCAACCACAGCCTCTGGAGATTTGTTTGCTATTCTAGCCCTGTGGACACTGGGGAGTTCATCTACTTTTGGGGTAGGCAATGACATGGTGTTTTGCAAGAGTTTGGTTGTCTAAAACACTTAACTCACATAGTCACTTTTCAACACTCTCACTTTTTTGCAGGGGATCCCTTTTTTAGTGACGACTAGTGACTTAAGTTAACTTTTTCTTGACTGGGTAAAAAGTCTTTGTTAAACAAATTCTGTACACAATTCATTGGTGAGAACCTAAAATTGCTGATCCTCAATTCAACAATTAGTTTTGTCTAAAAGTACTTTTTCACGTCAGTCTCTTTTTCTCGTCCGATTTGTTCAACCTTTTTGCACTAGAGTTTGCATCACCTGCAAGAATTACTACACTTGGTGCACTAGAAATGCAGCAACTCTAGGGATCCACCCCCCCCCCAAAAAATAAAACTACCGGCTGTGCCAAATTTGTTATCCAAAAACTATTTTACAGAAGTGAGTGATCAACAATGATCAGTCATTGAGAGCTACTTCTTAATGATTAGAGGAAAAGGGGATCGGAGATTTAAATTGTTTTCCGCGACTTTCAAAGGAAAGGCAAAAGTTACTCGGAGAGAGTATTTCAAGTAATATTTTATTCTATCTTCACACACAGTCAATACAACAATTCTACAGAGAGCAAAGCGGCGTAGACTCAGCGTTTGGACAAGGTCTGGTGCGGTTAACTTAATGCAACATAAAATGCACCTGTATATATAGCTTTGGCCGGCCGAGGTCAAAGAATGCGCATAGAAACCAATTCAGATTGGGGACGTCACGCTTTGTTTATTTGAAGGAAGGAAGCATGAGCGTGGTTGAGAAAGTATTCCGTCAAGAACAGGATTGTGAAATATAATTGCTAGCGCACCAGGCGCAGCCAAGCGTAGCAGAAATACATTAGCTTAAAAGGGTCACGCGTAAAGTGAAGGGTGTTGTGGTTGTTAATATGACTACACATCATAGGTGGGAGGAATCATCAAAAGTACAGAACAGCCCACTAATATGCTAGGAACAAGTTAGGAGGGCTTGAAACCTGATGTGCCAATGCTTCAAGGTACTCCTGATTAGTTCTAGTATGAAGCTCCTAACAAAGATTCAAAAATTCTGATTTTGGCCCTTTTGAACAGCATTGGCACATGTGACATTTCTGTTGAAGTAGCTCTCAAGTATCTCTTAAACTACTGCGCCAAGCTTCCACATGGTTATTTGTACAGAAAGATACTTCATGCCAGTCCCACAAATAAAAGGAAGTCCTGTTCATCCAAGTACTTATAAAATAATCACTTGAAAACCTGTACACACAGGGATTGCTCGCAAGAAATGACCAGCTCACATACAAAATGTGATACTTCAATTGAGCTGATACAAACCCCAAGGCAATGAAGCATCTGACCCTTGAGCAATTGTTCATCTTTATTATACATTCAGGCAAAACCCAGATCCCTCACATTATTATGCATACACTGAGAATAGTGAAAATAGAAACCCCTGGTTAAAGAGAGCTAAATAGTTATGAAGGCAATCCAACAGTGCAGTCTCAAAATCTGAAGAAAATTCAGGTTGGAAAATATAACTGGGGAAGTGTAAGACCACTTTTGTTTTCAAACATTGCTACCAAAATGAGTCAGAAGATGGTGGTCTAGTGATCTTTTGCTGGAAGCAGAGCATAGGCCACAGGGAACACTTGCCCAGTGATAATACAATGTAGGCTTACCAGTTGATGCAAAAGTGCTGATGCTGCCCAGAATGTCCCATCCACAAATAATTCTGCAGTTTTTGTCAAAGCCTGTAGAGCAGCCCTTGCAGCAAAAACAACAACATGCCTTGCATCATCTCCAGAATCTCCCACAAGGAATGACTGACAATTTTCTGTTTTCAGGCTGTTTTCTGTCACATCAGAACTGATGTTTGCAAGTGCAGGAAGTGGGCTAGGGAAATTAGCTCTCCCAGCTCTTCCAACTGTCAAAAATGATAAAGGAAAATATAAATTCAATTCAAACTTTGTTTGTGGAATAAAATGTATTGTTTATTTGAAATTAAACCCCAAATTGCTCACATTGAGCTTGGTTTTCAACAGATGGTAGTTGTGCAAGGTCTTCTATCCTGAAGACATCTGAACCCCTTGAAAGCTGATTGAGAACCTGAAAATAAATGTTGATCCAAAGGCTTGAATTACCTGGAAGCAAATTGAAGTTGATCAAATTGTACTTGAAGTATTAATTATTTACATCAGGTCCTGCAGAAAAATGATATATTTTGTTGCAATTGAGAATTTATGACTAATGAGGAACAATGTATTCTATTTTTATATAATTCAAACATTATTTCAATCAAACATCCATTGCTCACTTGATATTCAAATATAATCAGCAGGCTAGTCCAATCATTTTTAAAATATTGCATTCAAATAAATTTTATCAAAAACCGTTTGGCATATCTCCATGCTGGAAAGGTTTGACCAGAATATTGAATTATTTTTAGTTTGAAAAAATCATTTGGATATTTTATATTTGTTTTTAAATTGTCAGAAACTTTTAATTAAAAAATCATTTGGATATTTTATATTTGTTTTTGAATTGTCAGAAACTTTTAATTAATAGATGCACTGTACTCACATTCTCCCAGCATTTATTGACAATCCAACCCAATGTCAGATTTGGACTTATGCTGTTTCTAACTTCAGAGCAAATTTCTCCTGGTGTCAGGGTTTATGTTTTTTTGGTAAGCCATGGTTATGCCATACAGCACAGATAAGTGTGTTGTATGTTGCAAGCCCATTGCTGTTGATTGTGGCTCTAACTTGACACTTCAATCTTCTGTTTTTTGAACAATGCACTACAACATGCCCATCTCCACTTCCGGAATGTTTTGAAGAGAAATGACCATCAATAAAATAGCCTTCTTGGTTCCTCCAAATTTATACTTTCAAGCACTCCATGATGTGGATTGTGTTACAGGTATAACTGATCTGAAAGATCTGAACTGTTGGCATGGTTGGTGCAAAGACTGGCAGTTGACAACCAGATACATATGGCTTGAGATTACTTGATATAAATTCAAAGGCTACTTCAAGTCCATTGACTCCAGCCTTCATTTGATCTTTACTCTTTTTTACCACATTTTTATGAACTCACTTTCTTGTCTGTTTGTTTGTCCAGATCAAATTTTGCAACTCAAATTTTGCTCACTTCCCAACTAGCTAGCAAGCTGAAACTTTCAGGATAGCTTAGAAACTGATGACAATGCAATCTTTTGTGAAAAGAATAATTATA